TTCTCGTTTATCATCGACCCTCGACCCCAAGGTCGGTAGTCTCTCCTCCTCCCCCAGGGGGCATGGCCTCATCTCAGAAAAATCTCCAATACCTACGGTGGCTAAGTTAGTACGCTAAAAAGAAAAGTACCATTCCGGGGAAATAAGCCACCAAACGCCTACCATGATGTTTTGCCTCCCATCTCCCATTGGACAGGTCTCGCCATCTGCGCTTATCATAGGTCGAACAAACTACCAGCTTACGAGACCACTCGGCCAATTCAGGAAAGGGCAGAAGCTCTTCGAGGATGATATCGACCGTCTGCGCTCGAACGAACCGGCTCATCCATCCCCGATCCTTGTCCTCTTCGCCATTAACGGAAAGGGAACGGGTGGATTGATGTTGCAGGGTAATCAAATGCTAATAACGCAACAACCGATATAACCTCACGAGATGACTGAGGGTGAACTCGAGTCCGGCCTTATCTGCAAAGTACCTTATCGTCTGTGCTATCTTCCAAAGGGATGCGTTAGCCTATGCCAAAGTAACCTGGTATCTCCGACAGAGCTCAAGCACCACCCTGTCGGGGGGACCCAACGTAAAGGGACGCGTATACATGCTCAAAAATCCCTAGACGTGGGTCATGATGCTCTCCTCAGAGGAAGGTACTTGCAGTACCACTCCCTCTTCCCATCCGCAATATTTTCTGATCATTTCGAGGTGTTCCTCCCCTACTGATGAGATGAACCTAAAATAATGATCCTGATGTCCTTGAACGTTGGGAGGTTTCTCCAACGTAACGTATCTCTTAGAGACAAAGCATCTCGAATCCCACTCGCCGGGCACCGACGGTGTACCACCAACCTAACGCAGAACGATGGCAGAACTCTCCTCTCCTTGATGGGCGGATGTCGACGTAGCGGTCATGGCTACATAAAACAGGAAATGGAGGGTATAAATTTGGGCAAGGTTTTTGAGTTGAAACAGCTGAAGAACTAGCACCAAGAACCAAGTTCTATGGAATAAATAGTTACTCAGAGTAGCAGAATCTCCATTTGAGGAGCAAGCAAATGAATATATAGGGGAAAAGCAGCGACTGCTCACCTACCCATGGGGCTAATTGATTCTGTCCATGGTAACGACACTTTTTCCTTGGGAAATGTACTGGCAGAACAACCCCAGGGCTCCCTTTGTCAAATCTCATGAATAGTGCTATCCCGCGAAATTTAAAGATCCTTGGGTTGAGAATCAGAGGATAGTGTTATCAAGAGCGCCGATTTTCTCTCCAACTCTTGGGCCTCCTCAATCTCGGCTGAAAGATCAATACCTCTAGCTCCGACCCCCTCCAAGGCTTCCCTCCTTACCTCTGCTCTAGCATGATCGATAGCCCGAGCCAGTTTCAGCTCGACCTCTATCGATATAATACGGGCTATTTGATTCGCCATGGCTGCATCCTGCAGATAAGTAGCAACTTTTACTTTAATCTCGGACTTGGCCACAGTCAGTGCAGCAATTTCCTTTCGAGCATTTTGGAGAAGACCATGTGTCGTTGCCAACTCAGAGGCCACTACCTCATTTCGCTCCCTCAACCCAAGGATCTTTAAATTCTTTTGCCCGATCAGCAAATCTCTTTGACCGATTTGTGAAGGGAAAGGTAAGTCAGTTAGTATCGAATTATGGAAAGGAAGGGTGGATTCATGCATAACAAAATGCCTGCTCAGCAAGATCAACTTTTTCTCGGAGTGCTCCCTCCAAAGCAGCCCGGAGCTCGCCTGAATCTTTCTCCTTTTGGGTAGAGTAAGCCTCCGACTCTTGCAGTCCCAAGGTCACCCTCTCAAGCTCCTTTTCACGGCATAAAAGCTCCTTATGAAGCCTAGAGAGGGCATGATCATACATCTCCTTACACTACGGAAAAATAGAAAAGTTAGAAGAACGAAGAAAAATGCTTGAGATGAAAGGAAATATACATAAAACAACTATCACCTGCTGTATGAACCTCTCCGCTACCTTGACGGTGCTGGGAGCATCGAGATCGATGTTCTCACTAAAATCATCAAAAATGTTGCCCAGCGCGCCTCCCCCCTTGAGAGGACCCCCCGGCTTATGTGGCATTCGCATCCTGAGCATCCGTTAGCTCCCCTGACGAGAACTGAGGGCCCGAACTGAAATTACCTATGTCATCGATGTCCCCGATAGGCAACTCCTGCACCCAAAAAAGCTCCAGGTCCAGACCCTTCGGGACCAGCAACAAGGTCCCCCCAGCAAAAACCGCTCCATATCCGGCAATGGGATTCAGAACCATATTGACACCCTTCTCGAGGGTCTTCGCCTCACCGGACCGACATGAGTCGGCCATTCCTGATTCAGCGGCTTTCAGTCGATGCACCTGCGAGGCTCCCGTGCCCGACCTCATTCTCTGTACCAATCAACGCTCTCCCTCATTATCATCCTCATCCTCAGCGCCGAGGCTTGCTCCGAAAGTTGAAGCCGAGGTCTTAGTGGCCGCTCGAGGCCTTCATGACTTAGGTTTATTTGCCACAGGAGGATCCACAGCCGCCTTACCCTTCCTCTTCTTGCCCTTAGCGGGATCCGAAGCCTCCATCTCGCCCCCAAGAGGCAACCTCATCTACATACTCTCACCAAGGCCTACATGAGCGAGGTAACCATAACTTATCAGCATAAAGTATACGGGGAGAAATATAAGGCTAAGACATATGTGGCAAGGGAAACTTTACTATGATTCTTGGCCACCCACCGCTTCTTGTCCAGGTCGGGCCAAGATCGGACAAGATATGGGAACAAGGAATCCAACCGCCCGATCCATCTCGGCAGATCTGGGACCGCTTCGGGATACCAAGCGGTAGCTGTAAAAACCAAAAGAGATCATTTTTTCGGAAGGAAGGAAAGAAATTGCGAAACATGTTCGAGGGAAAAAATACGTACGCTGTGTGTTCCACTTCTATGGGAATGGCATCCTCCCGGCTGGAATGATGTCCAAGGTCTTCACCCGGACGAACCTGCTCATCCACCCTTGATCCTTGTCCTCGTCGGTGCATGAGAAAAATGATTTTTTGGATCGGTGGTGAAGCCTGATCAAACCTCGATAAAATTGAGGGCTATACAACCTAATAAAATGGTTGAGGGTAAAGGTCTCGCCCTCGACCCCATCAGAGAACTGGCAGAGCATCAAGACTATCCTCTAGAAAGAAGGATAGATTTGACCAAGCGTCACTTGGTATTTGTCGCAAAAATCAAGGATAACCGAATCTATCTCTGGGGGAGGGAATTTAGGAGGATTGACCGGACCCAAAGTGAACGGGTAAGTATATACATGAAGGAAACTAGCCTTGTAATCCGTTATGTTCTCATCAGGGTGGGGAATCTCCACTTTCGTTGCCTCCCCCCATCGGCAGTCTTTCTTCACCTTCCCTATGTTGGTCACAACACTAATGTACCAGGACACGTGTTCACATCGGCTTGGTGTAGATGAGGTTTTGTCGATGATAAAGTCCTTCGACATGTCAAGCTCGGTAGGAATACATTGGCCCACGGTGGGTATCACTTTGGGTTTCCCTTTAGACGTTCGAGATGAAGAGGCAGCCTCGTCTTTCGAGGAACCGCCTTGGAGGTTCTAGCCATGATGATGGTGAAATTTCTCTAAGAAAGTAAGAAGAAAGGATGCAAATGGGGACGGGTGTGGCTTTGCAAATTTGAAGATGTTGAGAAAGTAAGAATTATCCAATGATTGGTGCATTTATAGGAGCCGTGTGGTTAGCGGAAGGGATGAACTAGTAGCGGTTCGTGGGCTTCTCGATAGTCGCATTTGACGACGACCCTTGCGCAATTTTTTGGGCGTGGCATTTAATGCTCTGATAGGCTGATGTCACAGCGATGATGTCCTTGGAATAGAAGCTCAAAATCGTTTCCTATCGCTTTGTTCTAGGAAAAGCGGGGACTATCTGTATGCGGTAAAATCGGAGGGTCCAATTTCTCGCCATTAAGGCACTTCGGAAGATCACCTTGAAAGCTAGAGGCCATGGCCGAGTATCCTGCCTCTAGGGTCGTCGACACTCGACCTCGGAGCAGTGATGATTATGGTAATGGTAGAAATGGGGAGTTCCCAAGTCACACGGCTAGGACTGACAGAGCCTAGTGGACTACTCTAAACCCAAATCAAGGCGTCATCTAGCTGTCTCATCCCTATATCTTTGTAATTAATGCATTTCTATACTATCTTGGGACTCCCCTCCTATATAAAGGGTATCCTTGTCATTTTGTAAATCCTCGTTGCTTCAGTTGCTCCACATGAAATATACAAGAACATTCTCTCTGCTCTCTAACACATTCTCTTGATATTATTGCTTCCCTCTAATATCTTCATTATTGTTCATAATTTATTGCTTATCATTGGCCATAAAGATCCTTCATTGATTTTATTACAACTATTAGCCATACTTCGACCACCTTCACAGCCGAGCTTCGGAATCGACCTTGAGGCCCCCGAATCGACAAGCTCGAGGCCCCAATTGTTAACCTATTGGTTTGGTTATCACCTTATTCTTAACTCTCATTTTGTTTCTAAGTCTCTACATAGCATCAACTGCTTAACAACTAGTGTAAAAATACATCACATATTTTAAGAGTCCCATAATCAAATTTAATTGTTATTACCATTTTCACGGTAAACAAGGTTCACTAGATTTTTCTTGTACATCTTTTAGAATATTATCTAGAACCATCCTTAGAGAAATATAAAAAGGGGTGGTCTTAGGCATTTGTAACCAAGCCAAATTCAAGAAAATCTTCTTCAATAACAAAGTTCTCCTTTCAAAAATCTCTCTTCTTTTTTCAAGCTTCCTCTTCTTTAGTTGAACCCTCCAATCTTATTTAACGATCTTGGGCTAGTAGAAAATCTCCAAGTAATATTCTTCTTCTGCTATTATTTACATGGTGTCAGAGCCATAAGTCGTCTTTTGGATTTCAAGGTCGTATTAGTGGTTAATTCAACCTGTTTCTCTAAATGGATTTGGGTGGTCGTGCTAATAGACTGGGGATGGAGTTATTGAACCAGTCCAACTACAAGGTATGGAAGACTTGTATGGAGTCATACCTTGTTGGTGATGATTTGTGGGAAGTTGTCAATGGGAGTAACACAAGTCCTCCTGCTGATGCACCGAAAAATAGTAATGCACTTAAGAAATGGAAGCAGATTAATGCTAAGGCGGAGTTTATCTTGAAGAGGTCTATCTTTCCTAATTTATTTGATCATATTATAAGGTGTAAATCAGCTTATGAAATATGGAGGACCTTCGATCGGTTGTTAAACAAGAAGGATGAAGCTCGGCTACATATTTTGGAGAATGAGTTAGCTAACACCGCTCAAGGTAATCCCTCTATCGCCGAGTATTTTTTGAATGTTAAAAATTTGTGTTCCGAAATTTCTCTATTAAATTCGGACGACGCTATATCTGAAGTACGAATAAGAAGAATTATTATTCATGGTTTAAAAGCAGAATATATTCTCTTTGTTACATCGATTCAAGGATGGATTCAACAACTATCTTTGGAAGAATTTGAGAATTTGTTGTCGTCACATGAGCTACTAGACAAACAGATGGCTGGTGTATCCATCAAAGAAGGAGAAGGAAATGCTCTTGTCACTGATAAGAGGAACTTTAAAGGGAAATTGCACTTTCGGCTCTCAAGTGGTTCAAGCTCGCCAGTAAAGAAGGGGGAGTCTTCCTGTAACAATAAAAAACCTTAAAAATGTTATCGTTTTGGCAAAGTCGGACACATAATAAGATATTGTCGAGCCAAAGAGAGCAATATGGCTTAAACCAAGAAAGCTGCTGAAGAAGAAGAAGAAGAAAAAAAGAGGACTGGGGAAAGTGCTTTGCAGTGGAGGCTCGAGCAATAAATGGCATGGCTTCCATAGTTTTTGAAAAAGACTGGATCGTGGATTTAGGATGTGGGCACCATCTCACTGGAGATCAATCTAAATTCTCCACCTTTCGCGAATACAACGGACATGATGTTATTGTTACAGTATATAATACAGTCCATAATGTGGAGAAGGAAGGCAATGTTGTGATCAACGAGAAGCAAAAAGACACTTTCACCCTCAATAGTGTCTTTCATGTTCCAGGTATGAAGAAAAATCTATTTTCTGTTGCAAATGTTGTAGATGCTGGAAACTATTTGCTATTTGGCCCACATAATGTGAAGTTCCATCGAAATATCAAGGTGTTCAAGGCAGATATTGTTCACTTAGGTAAGAGAGTTAATGATTTATATGTCTTATCCGCCTCTAATTCATATATTGAGAAGATGAGTAGCAATGATAATACACATCTTTGGTATGCTAGACTTGGACATCTAAGCATGGATAAATTAAAAGCCATGGTAAAGTTGAATCTAGTAAAACGTTTGCCTAACTTAAGAAATTTTGGTGGAGGAGAGGTTTGTGAAGGATGTCAATATGGAAAGGCACATCGTCTTCCATTTGACAGATCCTTGTCAAGGTGCAATGCCCCACTAGAACTTATTCACATGACTTTATGGGGCCAACGAGAACTCCTTCATTCTCAAGATATTCATATATGCTAATTTTCATTGATGATTTTACTAGATTCACTTGGGTTTATTTTGTCAAGCACAAGTCAGAAGTTTTCAGTAAGTTTGTGGAGTTCAAAGAAACAGTTGAAGCTGAACTTGATTTCACAATATGGCGGATACGAATTGATAATGACGGTGAATTCACGTAAGATTCGTTTTTTGCCTTTTGTCGTCAGCATGACATTAAAATTGAGCTGACATGTGCTGATGCATCACAACAAAATGGAGTGGCTAAAAGGAAGATCCGACACTTAACTGAGACATGTAAGAGTTAGCTTTATACCAAGAATTTACCTAGAGCCTTGTGGGACGAAGGTATGAAATGTGCAGCGTATGTGATTAACAGGATGCCGCTTTCTCCAAACAATATGAATTCTCCCTATGAATTAATGTTTGGAGAAAAGCCTAGCGCTAAACACCTCAAGATTTTTGGTTCCATTTGTTATGTTCATTTTTCGGATTCTCAACGGAGCAAGTTGGAAGCCAAGGCAAGGAAATGCATCTTTGACGGATATGATGAAATGGAAAAAGGATGAAAGTGCATGGATCCTAAAACGCATCTCTTTATTGTCTCAAGGGATGTCGTATTCGACGAAGTGTCTTTGTATTATGGAACCGCATTGGATGGAGCGAGTTCAAAAACCTTAAATAATGCAGATTCAAGCTTTCCCATTACAGGTGCTTCTCTAGATAATACAGCCAACGGGGAGTTAAGAGAAAGGGGGAGTCCTGGACCTCAACAACATGAAACTCAACAAAAAGATAATTCAAGTGGTTCGAGAAGGCCAAAAAGAACTATTATCAAGCCAGCTCGCTTCAGAGATGAAAATTTTGTCAGTACATATTCCTGTTTCTTTGCAGAACCAATTGATGATGAAGAACCTTCCTCATTCGAAGAAGTTAAAGGTCTCAAAGAGTGGGAGCTTGCTATGGATGATGAAATGGAGGCTCTGATTAAAAATCAAACTTGGAGCCTTGTACCAAAGCAAAAGGATATACAACCCATTTCTTATAAATGGGTTTACAAAATCAAAAGAAGTGCAGATGGCAGCATAGATAGATATAAAGCAAGTCTGGTTGGTTGCTCGGGTATTTTCTCAAAAATACGGTAAATATTATGAAGAAACCTTCAGTCCGGTGGCTAAAATGATATATGTCCAAGTTGTACTAGCCTTGGCAGCCTCGCATAATTGGAAGTTATGGCAACTTGACGTGAAGAATTCTTTCTTATATGGAGATCTTGACAAAGATATTTATATGGAGAAACCACTCGGGTATGTCTCTAACTTATATCCTGATTATGTCTGCAAACTTAAGAAAGCCCTTTATGGCCTCAAGCAAGCTCCACGAGCATGGTATGAAACAATTGTTCAGTATCTACATTTCTGTGGCTATGGTGCATCACAATCAGATCCTAGCTTATTTGTTAAAAAACAAGGAGACTTGCATATGGTTGTTCTTTTGTACATGGATGATATGATAATAGCAGGAACTAATGAAGATGAAGTTGCTAGGCTTCAAGATGAGCTTTCCATAAGATTTGACATCAAGAAGTTGGGTGAGCTATACCATTTTATTGGCGTAAGTGACAAACATGAACAAAGGGATATTTGTCACTCAAGAAGGATATGCCAAGAAACTTGTTGACAGGTTTGGATTGAAGCAAAGCAAAATATGTTCTACTCCTCTTGAGATAAGTACAAAGTTAAGGGGGGACGAAGGCTCACTTCTTGCAGATCCCAAGCCTTTTCAGGCTCTTGTTGGAAGTCTCATGTATTTGACTATTACATAGACATTGCCTTCTCGGCGGTATATGTAAGCAGATTTATGCAAAGGCCAAGAAAGCCTCACTTAAAAGCTGCAAAGATGATTCTAAATTATATCAACTCAACATTAGACATGGGATTGTTCTTTCAGAAGAAGAATGAATTGGTGTTAGCTGGTTATACGGATGCTGAATTTGGTGGTGATTCAGATGACCGAAGATCTACATCAGGCTATATTTTTCTCTGTGGTGGAACAAGTGTTTCTTGGTGTAGCAAGAAGCAAGACTCGGTTTCCTTGTCAACCACGGAGGCGAAGTATAAAGCAGCTATCTTACTGCTCAAGAATGTGTATGGCTACAAAGACTTGCTGAAGACTTGCATCTACCTATATAAAATCCAACTATGATTTTTGGAGATAATCAAAGTGCCATCAAGCTTGCAAACAATCCAGTATTCCATGCAAGAATTAAACACATTGAGGTGGAACATCACTTTATTCGAAAAAAGGTTTTTGATGGAACTATCAATACTTTAGAAGTGCGAAGACAGGAGAATATTGCTAATATCTTCACCAAGTCACTTAATAAAGCTTCGTTCGAGTTCTTCTATGACAAGCTTGGAGTAGTTTTCAAAAAATCACTTTAAGGGGGAGTGTAAGAAAACTAAAGTAAAGTTAATTTTTTGGAAAAATATAGATTCCTCTAGAATGTCCTAGTGTAGTATACTTGAAATTTATTTAGTAGGCATATCTAGATGTTCTAGAATGTTTTGTGAAGATAAGATTATCTATTAGAGACATCCGGATATTCTATAGTATTATGGGAAGATAAGATTCACTAAATTTTTCTTGTACAAGTTTTAGAATATTATCTAGAACCATCCTTAGAGAAGTATAAATAGGGGTGGTCTAAGGCATTTGTAACCAAGCCAAATTCAAGAAACTTCTTTAATAACAAAGTTTTCATTTCAAAAATCTCTCTTCGCAGAAGGTCTTCGAATAATATTCTTCTTCTGCTATTCTTTACATTGAGACACTAAATACTAAAGAATAGTTTAGAGTAACCACGATTTCACAAATATAGATGCACAATTTCATCCTCAGTAGATATGAAACTTTAGATCATTTCCCAAGCTTATGTAGTAAGTGAGCAAATATTTCATTTTCTTGTACTTTCCTTTTAATACACTCATAAAAGCAAAATCAAGCATGTCCAAATTTACGGTCATCTTTACCCATCATCATCCTATGCAACATGATTAACAAATGTATCATGTTGACATCATTGTTTACACGGTGAACAAAAGAAATCACAGTCCAATTAAGAGCGGCCATATAGAGAATTCAATGATTTGTGCATCGCTGGAAACAATTCCTATTTTGTATTGTTTCATGAGCTTCCTGTCCTACTCCAAAAAGAGAAGTAGGATACAGAATAATATGTACACTACCGGGGTCGAGCGGTATGAACCATAGATGAATTTATTATACTGCCGAGGCATTCGACCCGCTCCACAAGAAAGGAAGGAAATTACCGAATTACGAGACACATGCTTACAATACAGTACATGAGCACAAAGTGAATATAACCTTTGCCGTTTCTCAAATTACTTGCCAACAACTCAAGGTGATAAGGCTCGGCCTAATATATATGTATATATTTCTAAATTAATTCAATTATAATTTCAATTAATTGAGCTAGCAGAATGAATTCAAGTATTTCAAATATTACATGGTAAAGTCCTAAGTCTACCCGAACATAAATATGCTTTAGCTACGTACGGACTCTCGTCACCTCGTGCGTACGTAGCACCCACAACTAATAACACATAACAATTACATCACCTAGGGGGTAGTTTCCCCCTCACAAAGTTAGACAGAAGACTTACCTCACTCCGAAGTTTCATAACCGGCTCCAACGCCACCCTAACACTCAATTCCAAGCCAACCGTTCCGAGACTAGTCAAACAATGTGTAATTCAATCAAAATATACTCCAATAATTATAATTTAATAATTTATAACAATCCCCAACTTCACTCGAAAAGTCAATTAAGTCAACCCTCGGATCCACGTGCCCAGATTCCGAAATATTTCGAGGATAAATTCTACCCATAACATTATGAACCAAAATATGGAATTTATTCTAATTCCATGTCCAATTTCATTGTCAAAATCCAAAATACCAAATTCTAGGTTTCTTTCAAAAATCCCTAAAATTTCTATAAATGTCCATGTTAAAATTCCATATGTGCTCATGAAATATAACAAAAAGTGGTTTAGAAACACTTACCCCAGAGATGGATGAAATAGCTCTCCAAAATCGCCCCAAAGTCGGCTCCAAGAGAGAAAATGAGATGAAATGAGCAAGTCCCATTGGCTAGCA